CAATCCCACAAAATCCACCAAAGTGATTAGAAGTTGCATAAAGTCTACAAAAGTCATCTACTTTAAAAAGTCTTAAAAAGTCATTAAAAGTCTTAATTGAATACACCCCCCTTATTCTTATTATTATTATTATTATATATATATATATAATACACTTTACTAGATCGTAAATATGTTTTAGAAGTCAACTTTTATATTTATTATCAAATTTTCATATATAATATCCTAAATCAATCATTTTTTCATTAACTTCGATTTGACGTCTATACTGTATGATAAAATAAATAAATAATTATATTCATATTTATAAATAAAAACAATATTATCTATTAGTTTTAATTTAAAAAAAAATTACTTATCAATTAACATAATTTAACAATGAATTATTTATATGATATAAGTTAAAATAAAATATTATAGTATAAGACGAGTAAGTCGTATATGTGATAATGTTATTTTAAATATAAATAATAATAACAATAATAATAATATAGTTTTTTTTTAAAAAAAAAACATTTAAAATATAAAATAATTTTTTATTAATTTTTAAATTTAAGTATAATTTTTTTTCACAAATCCATGGATGGTCGTGTTGTCTTGGCTAAAGCAGTCGTTAGCGCCCTTCCTTTTTATACCATGCAATCGGCTCGTTTGCCGGCATCCATTTGTGAGGGTTTGGAGAAACGGCTGAGACGTTTTATTTGGGGAGGTTTGCGGGACAGAAGAAAAAATTGTCTGATCAAGTAGGAGGAGGTTTGCATGTCAAGGGATCATCGGGGCCTGGGGCTGACTCGCCAACGAACGGTGAACGAGGCCTTCCTCGTGAAGCTCGGCTGGCGGTTTCTTATTAACCACAACGCGCTGTGGGTTCAAGTTTGGAGAGCTAAGTATGGTCCTACTCCTTTCGAGACCATCACTGGCCGCACGAGCACTGGTTTGATAGTTCTTCGGGCTATGCGAAAAGTATGGCCCCATGTTCTGCGTGGGGCTCGATGGGCCGTGTGTGATGGAAAGACGGTAAATTTCTGGATGGATTTATGGCTTCCGTCATCATCTAACCTTTTCAATGCTTCGGCTAGAGTTGTTCCCCAGGAGTTTCTAGACAAGTCGGTCCGTTTCTTCATCTCCGATGGGGATTCGTGGCTTTGGCACATGTTCTCGCATCTGATCCCTAACGCTATGTTGCTGCAGATTGCGTCGACCCCACCACCGCGAGAGGAGCTGGGTTGCGATCGGTTGTACTGGGGCCCATCGCCAACCGGGAAATCCACTACTAAATCCGCTTACTCGATGTTGCATGGGAGCACGGGTTTGGAGATGGGTCGGCGGCCGTTATGGAGGGCGGTGTGGAAATGGCCGGGGTCCTAACGTATTCGGAATTTCCTTTGGCTCATGGTTAAAAACAGGCTTCTCACAAATGTGGAACGTCGTAGAAGACACTTGACGGCCACGACATCCTGTGACGCGTGTGCTCTTGCCGAGGAGACTGTCCTGCACGTGGTTCGGGACTGCACACTAGCAGCGGAAATATGGCATAGAGTGCTGCCAAGCTCGGCTGTGCAGAAGTTTTTTGCATTACCCTTCGATCGTTGGCTTTTCTTGAATATCGTCTCCCCATACCAAGTGGGAGTTGATAACTGGGCGAGTATTTATGGAGTGGTGGTATGGAAGCTGTGGAATTGGCGAAATGAAAGGCTTTTCCAGGGGAAGCACCGTGAGGCTACCGGCGGAATAAAGGAGATTACCACTTATATTGACAGACTCTGGAGTGTGATTGAAGGTGACAGAAAACTTGGAGGCACGGGCTGCGTGGGATCTTCGCAATGGGTATGTTGGGATAAACCTCCGGTGGGGTGGGTTAAAATGAATTCGGACGGGTCCTTTAATGCGCAGCCGGGTTTGGGGTGTGTCGGCGGTTTGGTCCGAGATGACCAGGGACACTGACTTGGGGGCTTAACGGTGAATATTGGCGTGTGCTCGATATTGACGGCGAAGTTATGGGGTTTGTTTCGAGGTCTTTCTTTGGCATGGGAGTTGGGATGTAGGTGGGTGATAGCTGAAGTTGATAATGAAAGTGTCGTGCGGTTCGCCACTTCCCTCGACGAGCCGCTAGGGGTCCACACAGGCCTGGTGTCTGGCATTAAAGAGTTATTGAGCAGATCGTGGAAGGTCAGAGTGACACATGTATTCCGTGAAGCGAATTTTGCAGCTGACTGTTTGGCTTCCTTAGCAGCGGAAGGTTCTTTGGGGTATCACTTCTTGGGTACTCCACCTGATGGGGTCCGACAGTGGCTACAACATGATCTCATTGGCGTAGCCTATCAGCAGACCGTGCGTTCAATAAATCACTAGCCGTTAGCCTCTTCCTTTCTACAAAAAAAAAAAAAAAAAAAAAAAAAAAAAAAAAAAAACAAACAAACCAATGTATTTATTTAGAAGTCCTTCATCAATGACTAATAATTTATCGTACCGTTGGGATGAGATCAATCGATTGTATCATTGCTCAAGAAATTTACTAAAAAAAATGGAGTAATTGTTTTCTGAAAATGATTGTATTCATGTGGATGGATTGGGACGATATTTTTAAAGGTAATAAATTAGTAATTGTATAGAAAATTTTATAAATGATTCACTACAATTTATACGTGTCATTAAATTCTATCTCTTCAGTAAACACTATTAGTTTTGGAGGTATCTTATAAGTTTATTTATATAGAACTAGTACGTACCCCGTGCAATGCACGGGACAGATATATTAAATTAGTTATTTTCACAGATTATGCCCGTTTAAGCATAGTTTTTTAAACCCGGGCAGGTCTTCGGGTCATCGGTTCAACCGTCGGGTCACCGGGTCAGTTGCTGAACCGAATAATTAATCTTAATTTTTTTTTAAATAATATATAGAGTATTTTGTCATATAAATTTACACAAACTAAAAAATAAAAGTTTTGTATATATGATTTGTACATTAAAGTGTTAATAATATGTATTTCATGAAAATATTATACATATTTTTTATTTTTTAAAACAAAAATTATTTTAAAAAATGAAAAAAAAAAATATATAGGGACCGGGTCAATGCCCTGGGTCGATAGGGGCAAGGCTGGGTTGGTCGGGTCCTTTGTTGCCTGGTTCGAATAGTCCACCCGGTCCGGGTTGAAAAACACTGCGTTTAAGTCTAAAAAGCAATAGGTTATCATATATTTTCTATCTCTTTTAATCAACATTAAGTCGAAAAAAAAATAAGGTTATAATATATTTTTCACTTTTGATCAACATTGTTTTTTTTTTTGTCTGAACATTAAATATGAGCATGTTAGGGCTAACTTGTAAATTATTAATGTATTCTCTCACTAACACATTTGTAGTAATATAAAATTAATTTTACTATATATATTTATTCCTTGATATAAGAGAAAATAAAAGTTTTACTTATTTTGTTTACCATATAATCCTTAATATTATAATTTATTATAAACTTTTTTGTCATATAATATCATTATTATTTATAATATATGAGTTGTACGTCTTCTTTCTTCTTTTTCTTTTTATTAGAACTTAAATTATGTTGTAATATTTATCTTGACCAAAATATTATCAACATGAATCACGATAATTCAATTTTGTAATCTATTATAATGAATATCAATGAAATTATTGTTGGTACTACTAATATTATTTAAGGAACAATATTTTTTGATCATATATGATTTGATCTTATATCAAATCGTGTATATATATATATGTATAAGCTATTAATGAATATATTTAAAAAAAATTCAAAAAAAAGGTATGCAATAAATGTTTTCAACTATTCTTTTATATATATATATATATATATATATATATATATATGTATTCATTATTTTAGGGGATTGTATGTGATAAATCTAAATTTTTATAATTCACGTTTTTTTATATGTTTTGCTTATTAAATTAGAAATATATTTTTATTATGAAATAATAGCCGACATTCAAAACAACAGTATTACCCAATTTGATGTTAAAAAGTTTCTGATTTTTTGAGCAATCAAAACATAACTGCTAGATTTAGTGGTTAAAAAAATTCAAAATAAATAATATATTTTTTTTATATTTTGATTATTAAATAAGTTGTAATTTATTTTTATTAAAAAATAAAAATCCGACATCTAAAATAATTGGATTAGTCAATTTGATGTTAAAAAAGTTTTCCATATTTTGAGCAATCAAAACATAACTGGCAGATTTAATGGTTAGAAAAATAAAATAAAAAATAATAATTTTATTTATATTTTTTATATGAAATTAGTCGTATGTTAGTTTTATTAGAAACTAAAGACGATATTTAAATCAATTGTATTAGCCGATTGATGTTAAAAAAGTTTGCAATTTTTCAAAATACTAAAGTATTTTTTTATTATTAAATTAGCCATAAATTCTTTCTTAAAAAATAAAAAAATAATAAAAATAAAAAACTACAATTGTGATACATGATTTTCCTTTAAAAAAAAAAAATTGTTGATTTTGTGGAAGTTTAAAAGTAACAACCCCAATCTTATCCATAAAAAATAACAAACAACACTTTTTTAGGCCAACA